TTTTTTTTTTTTTGGTTTAGTTGGGTGTCTGAACTCTGTTTGGTTGCCTAGAAAGTGTAGGGAACTGTGGGAAAATGGAGGGGATTGGAGTATGGGATGTTGGGGTTCTGTTTAACTTGGGAGCTGAGGTAAAAAAAATGCTGAACTGGGTTCTGAGTTTCTCAGTTTTGGGAGCTAAAACAACAAAAAGATGTAAGCTTTAGGATTCAATGATATTTTTGTCTTGTAGTTGGAGTTGTTAGCTACTAGAGGAAATATTTGATTTTGTATGCTTGGGTTCGATTTGATTAGAGAAAATGAAGTGTTGTTTAGTTGGTAGATGTCATCTGATATGATCTTATTATTTCCAATGATTTCGTCGAAGGGGCTGAAGACTCTGGAAACGAATAGTTAATGTATTTCGAAAGGGAGTAGTAATGTTTGCTGAATCATAAAAAATGATATGGATGTGCTTGGTTGTGTCTTTTTCAGTGTTTCAAAATTTTCAGGTTATTTCTGCTCATGTTGTGGATTCTTGTAAAATGTCTAGGGTTGATAGATCCATAGAACAATCTAGAGATTTTATTGTCATCACAAAGTCAAGGTAGATGTCATTTTTAAGTACGCGGAGGAGTGAATGTTATAGGTCCAGTCTCCAGAACAGAAACTTTAAGACAACACATTTACTGTGGTATGGCCAGAGTTAACTCATAGATAACTTATACGACTTAATAATCTACTTTCGACTGATGTTGATATTCAATAAATGGAATCTAAACGTAAAATGTTAAAAATGCTCGCTGAATCCTAACATTCTGTATTGGAAGTGTATCATGACAAAAGTCATATGCTCTTGATGCTGGGAAGCTGCTCTTATATGGCGGCACCAATATCATCCTTCCAGATATTGGAAAACGAATTAACTATTTGTTTTCTTCTTTTCTGTTCTGGAGGAAGTGATAAATATGCATTTTTTCCCCTTTACCTTTTCCGATTTATTTTGCGAACTTAACAAAATTTGTGCTTGATTTCCTTCCACAGAAGTTCGGGAGTGATAGAATTATGGAAGGCCTTAATATTACCGACGAAATGTTGAGCCCCCACTCAGTTGCAAGGCAACTCAATGACCAAATTGCTCTTGCAAAAGCTTTTGTTGTGATCGCCAAAGAAAGTAACAACCTTCAGTTTGCCTGGGAATTAAGTGCCCAGATTCGCAGTTCGCAGATCCTGCTGTCAAATGCTGCAACCAGGCGAGTTCCTCTGACTATTAGAGAATCGGAAACCGCAATCAGTGATATGGCCCTTATACTGTACCAAGCACAGCAGCTCCATTATGATAGTGCAACCATGATCATGAGACTGAAAGCCAAAATCCAAACTCTGGAAGAACAAATGAGTTCGGTGAGTGACAAAAGTTCAAAGTATGGACAAATAGCTGCTGAAGAAGTCCCAAAAAGTCTCTACTGCCTTGGTATTCAGCTGACTAGTGAATGGTTCAGAAAGCCGAATATACAGAGGAAAATCAAGGACAGAAAGCAAATAGAAATGAAACTAAAGGATAGCAATCTCTACCATTTCTGCGTCTTCTCTGACAACATCCTAGCAACTTCAGTTGTGGTCAATTCAACTTCTATAAATTCCAAAAATCCAGATAAGATTGTCTTCCATCTTGTAACTGATGAAATCAACTATGCTGCAATGAAGGCCTGGTTTTCCATAAACAGCTTCAGAGGTGTAGCCGTCGAGGTTCAAAAGTTTGAGGATTTTACATGGTTGAATGCTTCTTATGTTCCTGTACTTAAGCAGCTCCAAGACTCTGATACTCAGAGTTACTATTTCTCTGGAAATAGTGATGATGGGCGGACACCAATCAAGTTTCGGAACCCCAAGTATCTTTCTATGCTTAATCATCTGAGGTTTTATATTCCGGAAGTTTTTCCTGCCCTGAAGAAGGTGGTATTTCTGGATGATGATGTTGTGGTTCAGAAGGATCTATCTGACCTGTTCTCCATTAGTTTGAACGGTAATGTCAATGGTGCGGTGGAGACATGCATGGAGACATTTCACAGATTCCATAAATATCTGAACTACTCTCACCCCCTCATAAGAGCGCATTTTGATCCTGATGCTTGTGGATGGGCGTTTGGGATGAATGTTTTTGATTTGGTTCAATGGAGGAAAAGGAATGTCACTGGCATCTACCACTACTGGCAGGAAAGAAATGTAGACCGGACATTGTGGAAACTTGGCACGCTACCACCTGGATTGTTGACATTCTACGGATTGACAGAGCCTTTGGATGCCTCGTGGCATATTCTGGGTTTGGGCTACACAACCGTCGACCCTCACTTAATAGAGAAAGGTGCTGTGCTGCACTACAACGGCAACTCAAAACCATGGTTGAAGATCGGGATGGAAAAGTACAAGCCCCTCTGGGAGAAATACGTTGATTATAGTCATTCGTTATTGCACCGGTGCAATTTCCATTGAGTTTTCAGGCATGGAAGTTTCGACTCTACCACGACATGGACGAGTGCTTGCATGATTCTTGCTAGATGAAAGAATAGATGGATGGATGGATGGATGGATGGGGTAGTGGTTGTAAGATGGGTGGGTATTCATTTGATCTTCCTAGGTGTGTTGGAGTATAGATGATGATTTTACTTCATATAAGTCATTCAGAATTGTTAATGCTAACCACTATTCTTCAACATTTATTTTCTTTTGCAGTATTTGTTGGTGTAGGTTGAACTGCATAACCTTTGTTGTATCCTTATAATTTGTTTGGTCAATTCGTTGGCCAGGTTCTAGAGAAAATTCAAGATTTAACTACAACGGTACAACCATTGACGAACATTATTGGAGACGTGAGAGTAGCTGAGTAGGCTAGGAACTCCCTCCTCTGCGCTCAAGTTCAAATTCTCGTACACGTAATTCAAATGCTCAAGTTCAGATTTCATGCTTGTGGATTAAATTAAATTATCGCTTGATGGAATACAAACGGGTGGGAAAATGTAAAGTCTATGTTTGAACCCATAATACTTTTGTCTGCCTATTATGGTACTCGGTATGGTAGGGTAGAAATCAGAATTGGGAAGAAAAATGGTCACAGGCCTAAGACTATAAATAAAATAAAATAGTCGACTAGGACAGCAAGGTCGTTGTAGTATAGTGGTAAGTATTCCCGCCTGTCACGCGGGTGACCCGGGTTCGATCCCCGGCAACGGCGTTCAATTTTGCAATTTTTTATATCAAGCAACAAAGGACATAACAACTTTAAACCAAAAATTTTAAACTAATAACAAATTATCAAATACCAATTTATTTGCGGAAGCTTACAAAAACAAATATTGACAAATGGCAGATTCCAATGAAACCCTTCGTTATCTTAACTTTGCGGGCTCAATTAAATTAACACAATATTATCCCTTGGTTAACTCTTATATGTTCACTCCTTTCACCACCCAAAACAAAACCATCTAAATTTCCAAAGATAAATTAGTTTCATCTAACCTCTTTTTCATGTGACACTAAATAAAGTGCATGAGGTAATTACTAGTTTGATAAATGGCGTGTAATTTCAATACATAAATATATTACATGCAGTGGCGGATTCAGGAAATAATATTAGGGGGATCAGTAAAAATACTACGCGTATCACAAATTTTTTGTTAACAGAAATAGCATGCGTATCGTCATTTCATCGAGTATTGGTAGGTCTGAAGTCATTTGGAAAGACATACTGCACACTTGTTAATGCCTCATTTGCGTGGGTATCTAACATGTTCCACGGCTGCTCTCATATGAATGCTTAACAAAGAAACACACTTATCTTGAACACACTAACAATGTTTGATATCACTGCATCCCATTAATATGTTTGTCCAAGAATGATGATGCTTTGTTATTCTTTGAGATCACATTTCATTTACTTTGCATTTTTGGATAGTTTTTTACTTGTTTCTTTTTTTTCTGCCTACAATTGTAATCACAACCAACAAGCAAGCTAGAGGTAAATAATATTAGGAATAGACTGTAAAGGGGCAACACCTCCCTAATGCATTTTATCAAGCAGTTGAAAGGCATATATGAAAGACAACTCCAACCTTTAAAGGGGCAACACCCAAGTCATTCATGGACATTCACCGAAGTTCGAAGGTCAGCACTTAAGTTATCCGTGGACATTCACTGAAATTCGAGAAGTCAGCTAACCCACCCTACCCCTCAATGCATCCGCCCTTAGTTACATGTATCGTTATAATTAAATGATGCAAGTGTAAGAATTATTCTAAATTTATCTATATTTTATAGTGACTTTGTGTATTTTAAGTTTATCTCAAGATTCGTAATAACTAGTATTTTACCATTCTTTGTTTAACCTACCGCACTCCTACTACTACAAGTTGAGAAATTTTATTTAAAATGTCTCATTCAAAGTGGTGCTAACATTTTCACTTGGGTCGAAGCTCCCCACTCCTTTCCTTCTTCCCTTCTCAGAAACCAGCTCAACCATTGACAAAAGAATATATATACTGTAATGACATACAAGAAAAATATATGACCATCAAATAATGGAGAGATTTTTTAATGTGATTGTCATATGAGGTGGTATACCACGCGTCGTTATATAAATAGTGATATATGTGCGTTAAAATGTTAATAATTTAAAAAATAAAATTTTCCACCATTTACATAAAAACATGTATTGTACTATCCGTATTCCCATCATAACTAAAAATTTCTCCTAATCATGATAGTATTAAAAAGGAAAAACTTTAATGCAATATTTTTTGTTTGTTTGACCATAACCAAGTCATCCCCCACGAGGGCTTTTCAGTAATTCCACCCCAATATCTCACAGAGTCCCCTCATATGCCGGCACATGACCTCGTTTGCCGCCATTTCGAATGTGGTGGTTTGTTTTGGGTCTCATCTGTTTCCCAAACATACGCAGAGAAAATAAAGTTCTCAAATCCTCCATTTCTCGCACACACACAAGTAGTCAAAACGCTTCCCCCCCCCCGCTCTCTCTCTCTCTCTCAAAACTTACAGGCAATGAAGAATGATCAAGTGGTGACAGACCAATTCCACAAACCCAGAAGACGCAAATCCCGGGAAGTAAGCTCTCGGTTTCTATCGTCGCCAACCACCGCAGAAACGACCACTCTCCCATCTACGAACCACCCCATCTCGCCGGTTCGCCGCAAACCCATTTCATCTTTCTCCGATGCCCGAAAACCCAAAATCGACGATTCGGGCCCCAACCGCGAACTATGGCCCTCCTCAATGTCGTCGCACAAGAAGCTCGACACTCTCGCCGATCACCTCGGAAACGACGGGCAGCGAAGATCGAATCGAACGTAAAGGTTCAATCTTTGACAGACAGAGGAGCTACAGTGAGTTTGGTTTGTTGGATAATCCGAAAGAAAACGCTAAAGAAAATCACAGACCCATTTTTGGTGGGTCGATGAGATTCACTGGAAAATTCAGGTTTCCCGGAAAATCTAACTCGTCTTCTTCTTGTACTTCGTCGTCTTCGAGCAATTCAAATGTGGCTGCTCCTCGGAGATTTTCAGTGGACGAAAATGCTCTGCATCAGAAGTCGTCTCGCCGAACTTCGGATGGTTTTTCGGATGCTCTTGATTCGGGATCGGAGTGCAGTGACATCTATTCAGGGATGACCATGGGATCTCCAAATGTTGGTCAGAGTGCTCGAAAATCGGGTGTGGAGGTTTCTTCTAAGTACATGAATGAGATTACTTTAAGGCATCGGAGACGGACATCTGATTCTAACATCGCAAATCCGATATCTGGAGACAAGTCTCCGAAGCTGAACAAATTCACCATTAAAAATGTGATCAGGAGGGCTCATTCGCTGACAGCGACCACACAGTGGGCGCTTTCACCGGGAAGAACAGGGTCGCCGACGATGTCTGTGGAGAATAAGGGAGTACAATTGTCGTCTTCGAGCATGAAGCCTCCTACGAGTCCCTCAAAAACTAAAGGGGTGGAGAAGTTGCTCAACTCGGGGTTGAACTTGTTCAAGAGTAAAAAATCTTCATCTTCTCCGTCTAGTGTGTTGGTGAGGTCTAATTCGGTTTCTTCAGGGTCAAGTATGACAGAGATGGGACATCAGCTTCGGTTGCTTCATAATCGAATCTTGCAGTGGCAGTTTGCGAATGCTAGAGCTGATGTTGTGAATCAGAACATAGCAAATCAAGCACAGGTATGTCTCGGCTCAATTAGAAGTGGAAGCACTCGATATAGGAGTTATATTTAGTTCGGTCAGGTTTCCGATGAAAGTCATTTTACATTCTTAAACATTTTGTAGATCAATGTTTTATATGCTTGGGACGGTTTGATGAAGTTGCAACATTCCGTGCTACAAAAGAAAGTGAAGCTACATAAAGAAAAGCTTGACATGAAGCTGAACTTTATACTTTATTCCCAAGTGAGTAGCAAACTACGATACATACAGATTTTCGTTAAAAGATTTGATGGTGTATAGACGTTTGGATTGACTCAAACGAACCTGTGTTACTACTGTGACTAATTTGTTTGTAATTTGCGTAGCTTAAGTCGTTGGAGTCTTGGGGAGATATGGAAAGGCAACATATGGCAGCGGTTTGCACGATGAAAGAGTGTTTGCATTCTGTTGTTTGCAGGGTGCCCCTCATTGACGGTGCAGAGGTAGGCCAAAGGAAACTGACTCTAAGCTTTTGTCTTGGGCAAGATAGATGTCTTTTTTTTTTCTAACGAAACTGAGTGCGTATGCAGGTGGACACTCAGTCTGCTTCCATTGCTCTTCGACATGCTTCGAATCTCACAAATTCCATTAAGTTGTTGCTTGCTAATTTTTCGCCATTGGTATGCTTCAGTTGTTTTGTAATGTTGTATACCCGGGATTCATGTAATGTGGACTTACATTGAAGCCAATTCTTGAACAGGCTGATCAAGCTGCTCCTTCACTGTCGGAACTAGCAGATGTCGTTGCACAAGAAAATTGCTTTTAGAGGAGTGTCTTGAGCTTTTCAGAAACATAGCCACGCTAGAGGTAATAAACGGACGCTAATTCTTTTTCCATCAAGTTCCAAACCACGCCTACTAATGCTTAATGTCACGTGACTTGAACCACGCAAAACTTGGAAAACTGACGTTGATTCTGATTTTATGCGAACAGATTGAAGAGAGGAGTTTGAAGTGCAGTATTATTCAGTTGGATTTTTGGAAACATGTACAAATTAATTAGCAGCAACTAAGACAAAATATATCATGTCATGATTCGCAACGAATTTTTGCATCACGGGCGCCAAGTGACATCGTATATCCTAGAAATTGTTGGCTTGGAAGATGATTGATGCATGAAACTTGCCTTTGTAGTGTATATGTGAGTATAAGCTTCTGTAAATGAGCAAGACAATTTTGGTCATTATCTGATTGAACATATTCTTTCGTGTAATCTCATTTACTTTACGTTGATAAAGCCTTCCTCTTATGTTGCTTATAGTAGAAATATCGCTTGTAAAAAGGAAGAAAAACATAGATCGTTGATAACATCCGCTTTTTATGCTACTTTTCACTGTACGGCACTGCTCACACTGCTAATCCTAGATGAATTGAAAATCTATCCCGTACAGTGTATTTCATTTTTGTATTTCACTTCTCAAGCCACAAATTTCCGTGACTGTATGGCCGTTACACTCAGAACTTCATTTGGGCCGGCAGCTGCCGCAACAATTTAGTGCTCATCATGTTTCTTCTATTTGAGTAATCCAGTGGTCAACACGTACTTACGTTTCAATGTAAGCTGTTACAATGTTTTTACACAAGAAGCATCCTTATCAGTATAGGAGTCCTAAGATAACTATGATACATTTGAATTTCAAATAAACAGCAGAAGGAGAAACAATAAAATATCTAGTTATCCTTATCAACACCTCTTTTCTTTTCCGATGTCCGTCCTCATAAAAGTGCAGGTTGCTATGAGCCTCTCACTATTCCAAACCTGAAACTGAGCTGCGAAGATGAACGATTTGTTTCTGAGTGATTTGCCTTCGTCCAAGAGATACAAGGACGTCGAGCGCCATGTCTACATCGGTGACATGCAGGATGGTGGCGACGTATGGAAAGAAACTGTCGATTGTGATGGATTCTTCAAGGAGATAGAGAATGTCCAACACGAGAGAGCTGTGCGTGGTGCAGCATTACAAACGGTTAGAGGGAGCGAACAAGGAGAGCAAGCTCGTCCATGATGCCAAATCCATGAAACAGCTTCGCGTGAGGATGGTTTCTGATGTTGAGCAGGTCCTGAAGCTGGTTAAACTCATCAAGGGGAAGTTGGAAAAGCTGGAACATTCCAATGCCGATCAGTGAAAAGTTGCAGGGTGCGGCGTAGGGTCATCTTAGAACTTCAGTGTTCTATGGCTTGGCCATGAAGCTAATGGACACGATAGCTGATTTTCAACGCTTAAGGACCAAAATTGCGTGCGAATACAAAGAGATTGTTCAGTGGAGGTCCTTCACAATCACAGGTGAGAAGGCCTACAAAGAAACGATTGAGAATTTGATATCGAGCGGGGAGGGAGAGACATTACTCCTGAAGGAGAGAGGAGTAGGGCCGTGGCCAAGTTTTGGACACGGTTCAAGAAATCCAACAGAGGCTCGGTGCTGTGAAGAAGATGGAGAAGAACCTCATTGAGCTCCACCAAGTGTTCCTTGACATGGCTGCACTTGGAGATGCACAAGGGCAGCAGCTGAACAACATCGAGAGCCACGTTGCGCTTGTGAATTCGTGCGTTCGGCGAGGAGCGCTGCAGCTAGAGGCGGCTAAGGACTATCAGAAGAGTAGCAGGAAGTCGACTTGCATTGCCATAGTTATATGCACTTGTGTTATTGCCTTCTTCTTTTGCTTATTTTGCTTCACTCAGTCTAGGCACTAGGGCTAGAGTACTAAGAGCATCTCCGATGTATATGACAAAAGATATATGTTAAATGTTAATTTGATGGCCGACGTTTTAATGTCAGATTTTTTCTTCCTCTAACCCATATATTTTTTTGTTGTTGTAAATAATATTTGTAGGATCCCATTTTTAAAATGAAATCGATTAAAAATAAATTTTCAAGATTTATAATTGGTGCAATGGGACCCTTATAAAGTAATAATTTAAAAAATATTTTATATGTTAAATTTGGCAGCAAAAAATTCATATATCAATCCACGTAAGATTATTATATTAGTTGGAGCTTCTTTCTGCTGTCAAATTTAATTGCGTGACATTCTACTTAAGATTTGACATTTCTTTTAAAGATGGTTTGTTCAACTTCAAACATCAATAAACACTAGTATGTGCCCACACACAAAGTGTGTAAATTTTTTTACTTTAGTTGTTAAAATTGAAGGTGAGAGGAAGAGAGTGAGAAAGAGGGAGTGAGGAGGGGGAGAGAGGGAGAAAGATTATTATTTTTATTTTAAATTAGAGATGATAAACTTACATGTAAGTGAGGTTAAAAAAGAAACAGAAAATTTTGTTTTGTGAAATTACTTTACTGTTCTTAATTTTTTTTGTTGTGATAGAAGACAAAGATGTCTTTTCATCATCTTTTGGTTGATGAAGAAGATTTCATTCATGTAGTTTTAGATTACTGTTTTAACTTTTTGTTGTGATAAAAGATGAAGATGTCTTTTCATCATCTTTTAGTTGACAAAAACGATTTCATTAATGTAGTTTTATATTAGATGGGCCTAATGGGTCAGTCTTGGGCTTAATATCTCGTTATTGTAGTTTTAGATTATTGTCCTTAATTTTTTGGAGTTTTAACGAAAAGCTCACGGTGCTGTTCACTTTAACAAAAAACCATATTTTTACACTAAAAAGTCAATCCTGGTACTATTCACTTTACCCTTTATTTTGTTCTTATCGTTAAAAGTCAAAGTTTTAAAGCCCTTTTTATTAGTTTTCCTTTAATTTTTTTTTGTTGTGATAGAGAATAAATATGTCTTTTCATCCTCTTTTAGTTGACAAATAGGATTTCATTAATGTAGTTTTTCATTAATGGGTCAGTACAGGGCTTAATATTCTCGTTAACGCCAAAACGACAGCGTTTCTGCCCGTTTAACCGTTCATCATATGATTATGACCCGTAGCTCACTAGCAAAACTATTTGCTCTTATTTCTCTTTCTTCTCGCTCTCCCTCTTCGTCTCCCTCTCTCATCTGAAACCTGAAAGCCATGGCCACTCTAGCGGCGGCGGCAGCTCGTCAATTTGCAACTTCAAGTCGCATCTCCACCGCGAGGACCTCGTCTCTGACTACCAATTTAATCCATCGCCGTGGCCTCGCCGGCGCTGCCGGTAAATCCCAAATTTTCAGTCTTGTGTTTTGTGCATTGTAAATTTCCGATCTGATTTTAATTTCAATGAAAAAAATGTAAAATTTGCAGATCACCATGGACCCCCAAAGGTTAATGTCTGGCAAGACCCGTTGAGCCCATCTAAATGGAAGGAAGAGCATGTCAGTCTCTCTCTCTCTCTCCCCCATTTTTTGTGGTATTCGATCTCATGATTATATATATATATATATGTATATATATATATTGTCGTGGTATTCAATTTCATGAACTAAGTTTCTTGTTGAAATTTAATGGGTTGTGATGATTTGGTGCTTTTTTTCTAGGTTTTCATTTTTAGCCAATTTTTTGGAATTGAAAACCATGAAGAAAAAGCAAGAATCTTTATGGCTTAATGAACAACATGTAATCAAAAGAATGGATTTTGGTTATTTTGGCCCTTATCTCCTCAATATTAATGAACCACATTTCATTTCATGTTTTATAATTAGATCAAAAGTGAACATTTTCACAGCTTCGATGTTACTGATTTCTCTTGTGATGAAACGAGTCATGATTTTCATGGAATATAGACATTCTAACGAGAGGATTTTAGCTATGGATTAGTGCTTTTACACATTACTCGTTGAAGTTCCTTGTGTTGTTCTTGAACCACTAGTATAATAGAAATTAGTCAGCACGTAAAGTTTTGAACTTGTCTTGACTGGATTCTGTACTTTTTCAGTTCGTAATTGTCTCTCTATCTGGCTGGGGTATACTCATCTATAGCAGTTACAAGTTTTTCTCTGGAGGCAAGAAGGAAGAGGTACTTCGGATTTCTTTCACCCATTAGTTTCCAGTAAAATTGATTTCATCCATTATATAGTGATTTGTTGTGGTTGGGTACCGGCCTAGGCGTTAGACATGCAAGGCAACTTTTTTGTGTTACTTGAGTGAGTGCTGTTTTCCATTGTTTACAGTGGTTCCTGGTCATTTTTTTGGTGCAATCAATCAGATATGCATTTGTATAGATTTTGTTAACTGTGATGCCAAAAACATAATTTGAGCACTGACGTTGCATCTCCCACTTCATGCTCTTACAATAAATGGTTGTCCTACATTTGCCTCTTCATCGTATTTTTCTTCCTTGTACGTTTTTGGCTGTAGAATAGAGATGGCTTGGTATTGAGTTGTTAGTGGTTTGCTTCCAAGAAAATTTGCAAAATAATCATCAGATGATATTGAACCATGGGCAACAGGCTTGTTTGCAATCTTCAAGTTGTTCACATATGGCCACTTGATCAAATTGTCAACCGGTGTTGCTTTGCTCCTAATGCCCCACATAGAGCTATCAATCAAATCGGGTTAGGTGAATTTAGGTTGGGTTAGGTTAGTATAGAGTGCTTTATTATGTGGTCAAGCATCCATTACATTGTGCCTTTTTTTTTTTAAATGTGTTCGACTTTGTTGGCTGGGACTGTCATAGTAATTCTAGCATCGGGGAGGAGAAAGAAAAAATTGGTTTGAACTAGGTCGACATCGCTCGAAGTGGCCTAGGTATTTTAACGTTCCATTAACGAGTCACTGATGCTACTCTTGTTTATTTTGTATTGTAATGTTAGCCCTTGCTGACTAATTCTTGTTTCTTTTCAGAAACTGGTGGAAGCATCGCACTGAGGTTTGGAGCATTAGATATTCCCAGAACTTCTTCGAAATAATGAGTTTTCTTGGATATAACGTGCTGTCATATTTCATTTTCTTTGTCAGCAAATGATTTCTGATCAATCTGTGGAGATTGATACATTGAAAACAAATCGAGGTTAATGGCTTTGTTGGGAGTTTATGTCCCCTTTCGATTGTGTTCTCTTTGTAGTCACTTGTATGATTCGATGCAGGAACGTTCCATGTTTCAATAATATACTGCCATCCTCCTTCCTAGTTTGATTTTTCTTCGGCTTATCTTTAAAGACCAGTTTATCATGCTCTTGAGGAGTAATCCAGGCTTAACTTATTCTTCATAGTTTGTATTTACCGTTTCGTCGATTTTGACTAAGATAGTATGATATTCAGGTGAAGTTATACATCTATGTGGCATGGATAAAAACTGTCGAGTCATTCGTTAAAACGTTCGGAACAGTCATTGTTTTTTCGATCTGCAGGAGTGAGGATACTCGTTGGATCCTCCAATCACAATCATTCGTTGTACATCGTGCGGTCAATTTTTGTCAGGTACTGTTTATATTCAATTTTAAATAAAAAAATTTACAATAATTTTTTACAGCACGATGTACGATGAACGGATGTGACTGGAGGATCCGGCGAGGATCCTCCTGGGTTCTGCAATTCGTTTACTTGGCATTTCTTGACCAACCGTTATACGTGGTTGTATTAGGGATGATTATTGCTAAATACAGCAGCTCTCGATTAAGCTAAAACACGCTAAACAAAAGTAACTAGAAAATCAGACTTGCAAAAACAGATACCTAACACTTTTTGCAGAGAAGTCTTGACAACTTGTTAAATCCGCTAAAACTCAGACTCGTCGATTTCCTCCCTGTACTCTTCTTTGTCTTCATCCAAAGTGGAACCAGATTCGTCAAAGATATTGTCATCGGTCACGTCTGTTTCTTGTTCCTCCGCATCCGCAACTTCCAAATCTGAGTCCTGTGGATCGTCAGTATTCATTTCTTCAAAACTATCTTCCAGTTTCTTGGTATCCTTGCTGTTCATGTTCTGTTGTTGGATGTTTCTGGCTTCGTGCTCTTCCAACTCTCCAACTTCAACTTTCTGTTTTCTATCATTATGTGTTACACTGTCGAATTTACCATTTGCTTCGCTTGTGTTGACGTGGGCAAGTTTGTTCTTCAGTTCTTCGGTGTTTTCAAAGTTTTGAAGCTCCAAACCTTTGACATCTGACGAATTAATGACGTGATCCCCTATTAGTCTCCCGTTTGAACCTGCTTCATCTTCTCTTCCCATTAACCCAACCTGATCATCTTTGAAGAATCTTCTGCTTCTCACACTTCCCACTCCTTCGTTCTCAAGACTTCCCCTATTCTCCAGTCTCCTGTTTCTAGCCACTAATCTCCCTTTCTTCCGTCTGTCGCCACCTTTAGGAGCCGCATAAAGTTTCTGCTTCTCGCCTAGTTCAGAGTTTTCAATATGTCCAACATGCCCGTTTCTTGTGATCTTATTTTCTTCACCATCATTTACTTCATGATCAACATCTTTCCCGGTCGTGTTGGTAATTGTCTCAGCCTCACTTGCAATATTAGTTTCCTTAGCACCAGTGATAAAACCACCATCTTTTCCGGTTGTGTTAGTAATCTTCTCAACTTCTTCTGTGCCACCATTCGTTTCCCTCCTATCAGTTTCTTTCTCTCCATTTCCAATTTGATCTTCTTGTCCAATGGACTTATTCCCATTTCCATGCGCACCTGAAATTGTTTCCGCAACGTCCTTGTTTCCGGTGGATTCCTGCAATCGATCACCCTCTTCTTTTTTCTCAATGACCTCTGTTTTCTCTTTTCCTGACACACTGTCATACATTGTTAAATTTACAAGTGAATTTGATGGATCATCGGTGCTTACCGACCCTGACCTTAACCGGATCTTCAACCTGGTGTTTCAAATCCTCAATTTCAGCTTCCTTGCGCTTCAAGCTTTCTACCAATTGCATCGCTTGTGGATTTCCATTATTGGCATTCAGTCTCAGTCTCAGCACCTTGATTTCACTTTGCTTCTCCTCAAGCACAGCCTCCACGGTTTGTAGTTCCTCTTTAAGCGAACCAATGGTGGATTTCAGCTCCGAGATTCTCCTGTCAAGCTCCATCTTCTGGGTTCTAATTGGGTATAGCTTTGCTTTAATCTCTTCGTTCTTCCTTCTCAATTCTTTGGTGTAGTCTCTCTCCTTCTGCGATATTAAACAATTAATAAAAACAGTACTAAATATATATAATCTAGTTAAGTCACACACTTGGTTTGTGAGGCATTTCATGATTCAACAACTTGTTTGTGTAAATGCATTCGTGTGCTCATTGGGAAGAGATTCATGGACTTTAGTCTTCTACATAATTTTTTTTTGCTTCAAAAACAAGTGATATTAGGGGAGGGGAAGATTCAAACTCGGAACCTTAAGTGCACGAAAAAGAATTGAGCTACAAGCCTCTTGCAATCATCTACATAATTAGATTAGTCTGCACTTTGAAATTCCACACTATTAAATGACTTTTGGATGACTTGTAATTCAAACGAGTAACAATTCTTGAAATCCCCATTACATCTGCTTCAAATTTTAAGACTCCTATTCATTAGTCTAAGGGTTTTAATCATGGGTAGAAGCAATAGGTCATTGAATAAAAGAATAAACAATCATAAATTTAATCATCGCACTTTGTCTTCTTCCTTCAACGGCAACCAAGAAATTAAGAAAAATGAATCCCTAATAAAATAATGGACAATTAGCTGGAGTGATCATTTTTTGACATTTGATTGTAGAAATGATATTTTTTTTTAATGTATATTCACATATTAATGATATATCGACAACACAACGATGATATAACGATACCTGATCATTTCTACAACTAATGTCGACAGCTAATGTCAAAAAGTGATCATTTCTGCTAATTGTCCTAAAATAATTAGTAACTGATTGAATAAGTAACGTCACAAGCACATAACATGTGAGTTTGGTCAAATTAAAGGGTCGGTAAAAGCTTATATTTGGTAAAAAATATTAAAATTTTTCTAAGTTTAAGAAAACACTTAAAATATTTTCTGAAAGAAGCACTTTTATGTGCTTCAAGTACCTTGGTTAGGAAGCACTTCAAGTAAGGTGGTTTTTAAAGAAGCATTTCCAAACATAACCTATAACTCGGTCATCAATCTTTTTCCTGGGATTAAAATGCTTAATTTTCAATGGCGTCTGGTTCTGCATATTGATATTGAAACAACAAAACAAATGCATGCAAATTGAACGCTCAAAACGACTCTCAATTCACCACAAAAACCGTTTTCGATTATCAGAAAGCGCTTTTAGCTATTTCAAAACAGATAATTATATAAAAGTGAGTTGCATGTAGTCCCTTTGTAGACACTCGGCTTCGGTGGCTGATTTAGGGATGTAATTAAAACTGAAATAAAAAAATTTGAGTTGCATGTGAGAGAGAGAAAGAAAGATAGATCGGGAATTAGACCTGGAGGAGGTGTTGAAGGGAAAGAAGGTCGGAGTCCTTCTCTTTGAGGAGGAGGTTGAAGATGCGCCGCTCCTTGAGCTTGTGGAGGAGCAACACTCCGAGCAGCGCTGCCCCGAATGCCAACACCAACATCAATCCATATGACTTCCCATTCCCTCTGCTGCCGCCGCTGCCGCTGCCACCACTTCCATTCCCCTTGCTGTGATTGTTATAAGATCCCATTCCCATCACCCTCAACGGAATATCTCTCTCACTCTCCCTCTCTAATTAAGTAAGAGGCTGGTCAGAGTGTATGAATGCATGTTTTGGTTGCTTGTCATCTGAAATGGACCCTCCAACTAATCTAATACAACTCTCTTTTTCTCTCTCATATAACTCACAGAGAGGAGAGAGGAGAGAGAGGGAGAGCGGAGTTAACAAGGACGAAGTGGGAGTGAGGAATCATGGGAACTGTGCTCAGGGCACTCATATTCTGGAAACTCCACTCTTCTTTTTTTTTTGGCTTATTTTATTTTATTTATTTATTTGAGATTTTCCATGTTTCCTTTCGTCTTGCACGAATAAATGCTCGTATGAAAAATATTTTTAAGTGATTAAAAGTTTTTTTTTAAGAAAGATAATTGGTTGTAAGTTATAGTTATCCATCTTTTCAGAAGGTTGAAATGCCTAACAAGTTTGACTTCTACACCAGCAGCAGGTTTCGAATCCGAAATCTTCAGTTTTTAGTTTTAACAAAAAGTCTCGTAATCCTTCATTTATCATCGAATCACCAGCTCGTGGTTAACTAAAAGCGTTTTAAAATAAAGTACTTTGGGAATCAATTTTTTGCATAAACATTTTAAGTGCTTTTAAAACTTAAAAAATATTTTTTTAAAAAAAAGAAAACTCTTTCGATTATTTAAACGCATTATCCAAACAAGTCACACTATGTCCATATGTAAATGGAAATTGTTTTGATCCAAAATTATGGGGATTGCCATACTTTTGTCCCACAAAAAATTGATTACTGAAAAATAATTTATGCAACAAAAAAAAATTACAAAATATTATGACAGATAAAAAGCCACGCCAATTATTTTTGTCAATAAAGAATCCCAAATTATTGAATGTAAATTGTAAGGTTACAATTTTACTGGAAGTCCCTATCACCTTGGATTCCAAATTGGGCGGCCCACCACCTTCCAAAACCCGATCCAAATTCACAACCCGCCACAACGCCACTACCGCCAAATCCATTCGTCCGCGTGCAGCTCTTTGCAGTGTCGACGGACGCTTCCGGGGCCACACACAGAGGTAACTACTTTACCGTCTAAAGTTTCTACCTTTATCTGTATTCCCTCCGAAATTGCCTCCCATGGCGGATGACATATTCGGCGAAGATTTTCTGAATTTGGAAGCGACCCACCAAAAGGAAGGTTTCGAGGAAGGCTACAGAGACGGCTTGGTCGCCGGAAAGGAGGAGGCGAAGCCGACGGGTGTCAAAACCGGGTTCGAGGTGGGCGAGGAGCTCGGGTTCTACAGGGGATGCGTGGATGTTTGGAACTCCGCGATCCGGGTCGACCCAACGCGGTTCACGCACCGGGTACAGAAGGCGGTAAGGCAGATGGAGGAGCTGATTGAGAAGTACCCGATCATGGAACCGGAGGACGAGAGCGTGGGGGATGTGATGGAGGCTCTGAGGTTGAAGTTCCGGGCGGTTTGTGCTTCGTTGGGTGTGAAATTGGAGTATAAGGGGTACCCAAAAGGTGCTTCTGAGGCTACGGAGACGTCGTTTTGAGAGGGTTGTCGTCGTTTTGGTGGAATTAGGGTTAAAGGTGGAAACTTTGGTTATGGGGGAGTGTTAGTGTTCTTGATATGTATTGAAATTGCTTTTGGTTCTGGTGTGTGACTACTGACTAGTTTAGTCTAAATTAGAATAAAATTGTACAGTTTTTTCGCCTTTCGATTTTTTAGTCATTTTGTTTGTGGCAATGTTATGAATTTTGTTGTGTTGCACTTGTTGTGCAAGAAATCTTTGAAAATTTTATCAGCAGAGCATGGTTTATTTCGAATTTCGGTTTTGTTGAGATGCTTTTATCATCAGCCACTAGTAGCTCGGTGAACTTGTGGCTAAGGTTAGAGGAGATTGTGATCAGATGAGAACAATGGCCACATTGTTTTTTGGTGGTGTCTTTTTCGTTATCGTAATCTGTAGGGTTTTTCTGCAGTTGGTGATGAGCAGGAGGGAGAGAAAATGTTGAAGTCGATGCTTGGTTGCTGCAAGGTTTACATATCCGAAAGCAGAAACAGGGCAGCACTGGAATCAATCGAACGGGCTGCTAAGCTTTTCTTGGAAGCACCGATTGTGAATAAGTTCGAAGATGAAACGTACAACAGAGTTGGTTACACACTTGTCTCTAAGTTGGCTCCAAAGCCGTCTGTCGATCCTTGTCCTTTGAAGATGGCAGCGCTTGCCATGGTCAAGGCTGCTTTCGAAACAATTGATCTCGAGTCACATTGTGGAAGTCATCCGCGGCTAGGAGTTGTGGATCATATATGCTTTCATCCCCTTCTCGGTGCTTCTTTGGAGCAAGTGGCTGGTGTTGCAAACTCTTTGGCTGCAGAAGTTGGCTCTAGTCTTCAAGGTTTGCTTTTATTCTCTTCTTTTCTTAAGGTTAATGCCCCTAAGTTGCTATATACAAATTATGTGATAATTTAGAAACAGTCGAATTCGAACAATATGCGACAGTTTACCTAATATATGAATTGCTAATATCTTAAATGTGGCCTGCAGTCCCTACTTTTCTCTATGGAGCTGCCCACGAAGAGGGAAGAACGCTTGATTCAGTCAGAAGAGAGTTAGGTTATTTCAAGCCGAATTCTAGCGGAGAACAATGGGTTGGGGGACCGAAATCAGATTACTTGGCGCTGAAGCCGGACAAGGGTCCCGCTCAAGTGACTCAAGGAAGGGGTGTCATTGTGATTGGAGCAACCCGGTGGGTTGATAACTATAATGTCCCGGTCATCTCTACTGATATTGCTGCTGTTCGTAGAATTGCAAAACGAGTGAGTGGCAGGGGAGGCGGACTTGCTTCGGTCCAAGCCATGGCACTTGCGCACGGTGAATCCATCATCGAAGTCGCTTGCAATTTGTTGGAACCAGAGAAGGTGGGAGGAGATAAGGTTCAACTTGAAGTTGAGAGGCTTGCAAGGGAAGAGGGTATGAGAGTTGGGAAAGGCTACTTCACTGATTTTTCTCAGGAAAGATTAATTGAAAGTTACTTGAAGTCGGATTTCAGTACAAACAAAATGTGTTTCTAGATTGTAAAAGCACTTTTAATGTGCACTAGGACACATATTACTCCTAAAAAAAGTGCTTCTAGCATTTTTTTTTTTTTGTCTAGAAGCACTCTTAAACAAGCTCCTAGTCACTGTCAATTACTTACATCCCGTGATGAGACTTATAACTTGTTTGGTTGACGTTTCCCCATCCATCGTTGTCAACACAACATCCAAACTTTGGTTACTTAGTATTTATTTTTCAAGTAACGTGAAACTTTGTCATTGTTCTTGGTGTGTGGATAGAATCTATGTATTTTATTTCTTATTCTTATATATATATATTTTTTACAATATAATTATGGAAGTTGTATTTGGTGCTTAATGATTTAGTACATCATCCGACAAAGCATGGCAATTATGCATATCCGTATATTTAATTCGGTGCACATATCCTTCATCTCTTAGTACATGATAACATTCTGAATGGTAGTTGAAATTTTGTGAAAGAATTGTATCTTTTTATTTATATATATATATATATATATATATAAAGGAATCAACTAGTAATAGAGCCATGACAATCTACTATTTTAAAAGTCGTTTCAATTACGAACTTGAAATTTAGGACCAATTGTATGAAATGCAGAATTAAAATTCACTCCAACTACTGGGATACCCGCGATAGTTGAATTGTTGGTTTTTTATAGTTCGGTTTCGATGCCATAAATTAAGTGGAAAAGGCTCGGCTTTTATAGAACAGTCCAGAGATGATAGGTCATCAAGTCAAGTTTGGAGGAAGTTTTCTGTATCCCTACTTGTATTCAATTATATGTTTATTTTTTTAGTGAATAATCAAATGATAAGAAAGAAAGACGCGCAATTCTATAGAATTAGTAAAACTTAAAGAATAGAAAATTTGCTTTGAAATTGTTAAAAGCGCCCGATCTTCGAGTATTCACTACAATACGAATCGCACACAACAAATTGATATACTAAAAATCTCTGATAAAAAAATTTATATGTAATCTAACGTAGAAAGTACTTTATATAGTCCGTTTTAGAGATTAACAGTTACTGATTCACATATTCCCAACCACTAGGCTGTGGGGGTTAATAATTTGTAGGATAATGTTAATAGTTGCGCCGGGGGGGTTAGGTTTTCACGTTTACCTAACCCTAGGCTGTTTTAGCCCCACCTCCAAAACTGCTTTTGAGGACCTTTCAATTAAAGGAAACATAAAAAATAAAAAATAAAAAAAAAGATACAAGGTACCTTATCAGAACCTTATTTCTGGAGTTGTTTCCAGAAAAATGCAGATTTAAACTTATTCCAAGTTAAATAGAAAAGCGTGCTATATCATCTCTATCTAACTTTCGAATCTCCCTTCCAGCGATTTAAAGATGACAAATTATAACAAAAAAAAATGCATGCTTTTACATTCTGTAATTTTAGCGTGCTATATTTAAGAATGGAGGCTAAATATAAGAATATCTTTAGAGATAGCTTGAAAAAAGCTTTTGTGCTAAGCTGCTTATAATCACATTCACTCATTTGGTTTGTTAATTTATTAGATATTGAGAATGGACTTGTCAAATTGTGCGGACATACGGGGATACGTATGCCGCGTCAATGCTGACTCGTCAACTTAGCTTTTATATAAAAGCACTTATCAGTCTATCAGATCTAAAGAAGCAGAAAATAATTTTCAGCTGCAAAGGCTAAACATTGGAGAGAGAAGAAAATGGATTTCAGCCAAGGTTGCAAGGTAACAACTCCTTCTTCTTCTTCTTCTTGAGTGTAGATTCTTCGGCTTTCCCCGCCTTGCATGCATCGCCTCTTTCTGTATCTCTCGTTATAAGTCACGTGGTCACATTACTTAATCACTGTGATCATGTAACGTGTTCTTTGACCAGAGATAGGTAAGTTTTTCCGGTTGTATGCAAGATTATCTCTAATTTCTCGCCGATTATATGTGTGATTTGTTAATCTGTAGGAACAAGAACCATACATCGAAAATCATTTATGTTGGCTTTATTTGTAATGATCTACAAACAAATTATATTTCTTACAAAAGAAAACTCATGGCAATTTCTTCAATACTACTACAATGAAAGATTGAGATTGAAAATAGAAGACCTAAACAATTGTTAAAATCAAATTTAACGACTTAAACACTCATAACTATGAATAATGAGCAACATTTATGTCACACTCAAAACCATGAGCTGTTAATCAAGGCTTTCTGTGGGTTAATACCTGTGGGAAGGAGCTTTCTGTGGGTTAATACCTGCTGGGAAGGAGAAACCAGGATCAACCAGAAGAAACTGTATTAAATTATTAATATTAATAAACAATAATAGCCATACACTTGTCAGTATCCTAGTGGAAGTTCATGACATGATGTGATTCGCGTGAAGACGATCTTCCTACTTAATGTTTCTTGACTTTAAATTATCAAGTGATTAAGACCATTTTAATTTCTAGATAATGTTTGGACATATTACTTGACATAAAAGTCCACTGCATTATGCAGACGTGACTCGAATAACATGTCCGTTCCTTTGCATTTGAATTTAAATTTCTTTTCGATAAATTAGAGTAGTTTAAAACATTGTTTTACTTACGTTTTCATTTTGTCTCGCTAAAACTCGTGAATGAGATGTTATTGACACTAGGACAAGAAGAAGAAAACCATAGACCAGTCCATGCTACTCTGCTGCAAGCTTTTCATATCCGAATCACGAAACCTCGCTGCCCTCAACGCCATTGAGCGTGCCGCTAGGCTCGACCCGGAGTCAGTCATAGTTAACAAATTTGAAGACCGAGCATACAATAGGGCCCGGTACACTATTGTGTCATATGTCGTGCATGATAGCACAGGGAGTGCCATATACAGCCCCTTGCAGCAAACTGTCATGGCCATGACTGAGGCAGCCTTTGGAGCCATCAACCTTGAGCAGCACTCCGGCGCTCACCCTCGGTTGGGGGTTGTCGATGACATTGTCTTCCACCCGTTGGCTAGGGCATCTCTGGATGAAGCTGCTTGGCTTGCGAAGGCAGTGGCCGTGGATATTGGTAATAGATTCCAAGGTTAGTCCTAAGGTTTTGAACACCATTTTTATGCTGAGTTTGAATCTTTCTGCCTGTAATTTAGATTAATTTAGCGTAGACAAAAAAAAATTAAAAACATAAAAAGCTAATCTTTTTAACTTGTACTGCAGTTCCAGTGTACTTGTATGATGCAGCACACCCTACAGGCAAGGCCCTAGACACGATCAGGCGTGAGCTGGGCTACTACAGGCCCAATTTTATGCCAGACGTTCTCCAAGAAAAGCCCGACGAAGGCCCAACTAGCGTAACCCCGGCAAGAGGCATCGCAATGATCGGTGCACGTCAGTGGGTTGCCATGTACAACATTCCCATAATGTCGACGGATGTCACGGCCACTAAACGGATTGCGCGGATGGTGAGTGCCCGAGGGGGCGGACTCCCAACCGTGCAAACACTAGGATTATTGCACGGTGAGGACTCGACGGAGATAGCTTGCATGCTCTTAGATCCCAACCAAGTCGGAGCAGACCACGTCCAGAACTACGTCGAGATGCTTGCGGCACAAGAAGGGTTGGATGTGGAGAAGGGGTACTTCACTGATTACTCACCAGATATGATTATTGAAAAATACATGAAACTAATTTCATCTGCAGAACAATGATGGCAAGTGGATATTGTGAACTTGGATCTTCTATTTATATTTCCAAGGGAAATTCAATGTCTTTTTACATCAGCGCTTGTAAATCTATGGATGCATTAATCTACATTTCGGTTTTTTTCCAACTCTTACCTCTGCTCTGTCATGTACATTGCTTTTTTTGAAAATCTTCGGACAACAGAGTATGAAGCAGCACTTGGAACCTCCCCGAACCAGGACCTGGCTTAAACACTGAATCGTTACCACGCAGGGAGCATGGGTCAGCCCCGCCTTCAGGGCTGCCTATACACCACCCCCCAGGTGCAAACCGGTTTGTGCGACCTAGAAGCTCTTTATCAATTTTGTCCAACACTGGGTCATCCTTTGCAAACTTTCGAGCAAAGGGAGCATTGCTCTTCACCATTTTGTCAAAGTCCTTCATTGACAAAGAGATGGGATGCTGCTTAGGAGGGCTGTCCCAAGCAATGTAGTGGAGATCGTGACTTATCGCAGTGTGGCGATATTCCTCATTGTCGCAAATAATAGTATGAAAATAACCTTCCGGAGAAGAAACAAAATTTGTGTAGTACATAAGCATTGTACGTGGGAGGTTATCCCATCCCCATATACAATACTCGAGAAATGATCGCGTTAGCATTACCCACGCAGAACCTGCACACAAAGAAAATTGCAAAATGAGAGAAACTATTTATTTAAACAGAGATTGATTGCTAATTGCAACATGAAGATTGAAGTCATAAAGAATATTTCTAATCAGCAAAGCAAATCACATCTTGCAGAAGAAACGGAATTTGACATGGAAAATTTTCAATCTTTGTTCTATTTCCCCCCTTTGTCAGGGCTGAAGGAGGCGGAAAGTTTTGGTGGAACATTCGACAGAAATATATGGTCTTAGCTGATCCTTTTAGATTGGCTTTGTAGTTGAAATATGTATATTTGAATTGCATGTGATTTCTTTTCACGGCAAATTAGACTAGAATCACCTTCACTCCGGGTTACTGTCCAATCCAATCTATGATCTATCAGTGTGAATCTGGTGTAACTTTAGCCCCAAGTATAATGATTAAAACTCCCTTGGTCGGATTTAAACGAGCGGGGAAAATAAGCATTTCCATTCTAACACTAATAAGTTTGGAAATATGTTTATGATATGTAATGTTATATAAATATTCAATAAAAACTTCATATAAATGAAAATGGGCTGACAGTTATCCAGGGTGCTCTATACAGTGTGCATATATAAAAGGTGCTCTCTCTCTCTCTTTCTCTATATGTATGTATATATAATTCTAAATACCTGTGAACAACTTGAATGATGTAGGAAGTGATCGGCGCTGAGTAGTCAATGCAAGGTCAGATTTTTTTGATAAGTACAGGCCTGGATCAATTATGATAGGTTTTGCTCTTTGGTTCCTGCAAAAGAAGGCATTATAGCATAACCATGATTACGTAATGGTTAACTGCAAAAATGAAATACTCTCTTGCTAG